CACTTCACCACATTGCTCAAAGACCTACCTGACTTGGTCTTGAACACATCTAGTGATGGGACATCCACAGCTTCCCTCGACAACCTGTTCCAGTGTCTCACCATCCTCATAGTGTAGAATTTCTTCCGTACATCTAATCTAAATCCACCTTCTTACAGTTTGAAACCCATTAACCCTCGTCCTATCACTACAACCCCTTGTAAAAAGTCCCTGCTTATCTTTTTTGTAGCTCCCATCAGGTACTGGAAGGCTGCAATAAGGTCTCCCTGGAGCCTTTTCTTTTCCAGGCTAAACAACCTCAACTCTATTAGCCTGTCCTCACAGCAGAAGTGCTCCAGCCCTCTGATCATCTTCGTGGCCCTCCTCTTGACCTGCTCCTGCTCTTTTGATGCAGCCCACGATACAGCTGGATTTCTGGGCTGCACTCATGCATTGTTGGCTCATGCTGAGCTTTTCATCAGCCAGCACTCCCAAGTCTTTCTTTCCAAGACTGCTCTCAGTTCATACTGCACCCAGCCTGTATTTGTGCTTGGGATTGCCCCGACCTGTTGTGGTGAGCAGAGCCCGCCCTAGGCAGGGATCGGCGTGCGGACGAGCTCGCGATGTAACGGCAAGCTCAGACTGCCCACGAGGGGCCTTGTGGGTGTGGCTTGTGCTATATAAGCAATTGCAGCTGCGCAATAAACGCCATTTGCAACATCCTTCACATTGAAGCCTGTGTCTGTGATGGTACCCAACGGCAGAGGTTGGGTGGCAGAGATCCCGGGGTTCGGGTGTCGGTAACGCCACCGACCCAGATGCAGGACCTTGCACTTGGCCTTGTTGAACTTCATGAGGTTCACACGGGCCGACCTCTCAAGCCTGCCAAGGTCCCTCTGGATGGCCTCCCTTCCTTCCTGTGTGTCAACTGTTACCACACAGTTCAGCGTCATCAACACACTTGCTGAGGTTGCACTCGATCCTACCATCCATGTTACTGACAAAGATGTTAAACAGCACCAGTCCCAGTACCAATACCTGAGGAACACCACTCATCACTGGTCTCCACTTGGACATAGAGCCATTGACTTCAACTCTTGGAGTGCAACCATCTAGCCAATTCCTTATCCAGCAAGTAGTCAATCCATCAAATCCATGTCTTTTCAATTTAGAGACCAGGATGTCATGTGGGACAGCGGTGAACGCTTTGCACAAGCCCAGGTAGATGACGTCAGTTTCTCTTCCTTTACCCACCAGCGCTGTAACTCCATAATAAATGGCCACCAAATTTGTCAGGCCCTTGCTGAAGCCATGTTGGTTGCTACCAAGCACCTTCTTATTTTCCATGTGCCTTAGCAGAGCCTTCAGAAGGATATGCTCCATGATCTTGCCAGGCAGAGGTGACACTAACTGGCCTGTCCTTGCCTGAGTCTTCCTTTTTTCCCTTTTTGAAAATGGGAGCTATGTTTCCCCCTTTCCAGTCAATGGGAACTTCACCAGACTGGCATGACTTTTCAAATAGGATGAAAAGTGGCTTAGCAACTTCATCTGCCAGTTCCCTCAGGACACGTGGACGGATCCCATTTGGTCCCATGGACTTGTACACCTTTAGGTTCTTTAGATGGCTTTGAACCTGATATTCAGTTACAGTGCATGCATGTTTCTTCTCCTAGTCCCCGCCTTTGGCTTCTTCTTGGGCGGTGTGGCTGGAGCCCGTGCCAGTGAAGACTGAGGCAAAGAAGTTATTGAGTACCTCAGCCTTCTCCATATCCCTCATGACCTGGTCTCCTGTTTCCTTCCAGAGAGAGCTGACATCTTCCCCAGCCTTCCTTTTATCACTGACGCACCTGTAGAGATTTTTCTTGTTACCGTTGATGTCCCTGGCCAGATTTAATTCTATCTGGGCTTTAGCTTTCCTAACCTGATCTGTGGCTCTTTGGACAACTTCTTTGTGTTTCTCCCAGGCTACCTGTCCTTGATTCTACTCTCTGTAGACTTTCTTTTTGCAGCTAAATGTGTCCAGGAGCAACCTGTTCATCCATGCAGTCCTCCTGGCATTTCTCTTTTTTGGGGATGCATTGCTCCTGGGCTTGTAGAAGGTGGTCCAAGAATACTGACCAGCTTTCTTGGGCCTCTCTCCCCTTCAGGGCTTTACCCCATGGTACTCTACCAAGCAGATGCCTGAAGAGGTCCAAGCCTGCTCTCCTGAAGTCCAGGGTAATGAGCTTGCTGCACATCCTCCTCCTTGCCCTAAGGATCTTGAATGACACCATTTTGTGGTCACTGCAGCTGAGGCTGCCCTTGAGCTTCATGTTACCAGAAACTAACAAGTAGTAAATTTTGTTTTATTGCTCCTAATTTAAGATAATAATGCAAACTTACAACATGCAGTCCTATTGTTGTCACTGCAGAGAGATCTATAGGAAAATTCAATCATAATGATAACTACTTATCTGTGGGAAGCAGAAAGTCCAGTATTCTTCCACTTCGTAGATGGTTCCAATTTCTTCTGGTCAATGGATCTTCTTTCTGCAGAACATTTCTCTTTCTCAGATACTTTCTTTTCTGTAAAATCATAAAGGTTCTGCAACTGGTCAGAGACCTCAGCACCGACCACTTCCATATGCTGATATTTCTTCTTACATTCCGGTTCTTTAAAAAATCTATATTCCTAATAAAAGAAGGAGACATAGTTTGTCAGTCATATTGCTATATAAATAATGCATGTTTAAACAGTAAGTTATAAGCACAATTCCAGGATGCTGTGTTTAAAAATTCTATATATTAAATGTAGAATTAGATTATAAGGATAAAACCAGATTGACTTTATAAGAGTGAAACATTACTCTGGAAAGTACCTGTCACTGTGTGCAAATTGAAGTTTTTGAAATAAATGAACTAGCTAAATTTGGAACTTTATGAACATACTTCAGTGTTGGGCATTGTTGAATTTCTAATAGGTGAAATTTGTGACACAAGCACTTTTACAGAACCCATTAATTCCAACTGAGTTTTAAGATCTAGAATTGCAAAGTAAGTCATTCTGCTTTCAAAGGATCACTTATATAAAAACTATTTCCTTGCATAGAGGATTTATAAAAAATTCCCCCAAAAACTAATGAACATAAAACTGAAAACAGGCTGTGGTAAACTGCTATACTTCGGTTCCAAGTAATTTAATTTGATATACTTCAGAGTTAATATAAGCACATTCCATTTCAGTTTTTTCATCTTCTATCTCTCAGGACAAAACATTGTTGAACAAGTCACATACAAGAATGGAGATGAGTGACAGCTACCAATCCTTCAGCTGTCTGTGTCTAGTACCATGGCTGATCAAAAATATCCAGAACAGAAAGGACTCTTGTCAACTCTTATTCACTATTGGAACGTATTCAATTTTTACAGGAAAGACAGCATACCATCATTACTTATTACTATTATTGCAGCTGTCACTATCAGATAGGTGAAGACATTCCTTTATGTATCTGATTCAAGGCTGTTTTAAGGAGACTGTCAGTCTGGTCTGTTTTCGATCAGTCCCTGATGTGAATTGGCTGTTCCAGGCTTGCTGACCCAACCGTTTAATCATAAACTAACTTATGCTAATACTCTCATACTGAAAATGTACTCTAGACAAGACAATTTAACACAGGACAAACTGGACAAATGACAGGGGAACTAATGCTGTAGCTTAACCAGCTAAGCACATGTTAAAAAGTAAGTTTCCTACAGCACTGGAAGCCCACACAGCAATTCTACAGGTCAGCTTAAACAAGGCAAAGAAGATATTATAAAAGTTACTCGGCTTTGTAATATATGTGTACATATAGAGGTTTTTGAAGCTCTCCTCTCCTTAGAAAATAAATCAAAACTATTTTCAGTTAAAACTTATTTCATGTAGGCAACCTTGGGAATACAGCTTTTCTCTGCTTTTCAGAGTTCTAGAGTAGAGATAGATTCGCCCTCAAATAAAAATGTTCTGCAGGTGTACAGTATTAACTAGTTTAAATTCTAGTTTTAACATGCAGAGTGTACTGAACCAGCTCTTCAGAAATGCAATATGGTATGGTATGTTATATGATATGATATGATATGATATGATATGGCATGATATGATATGGCATGACATGACATGACATTCCTAAACTATTAAAATGGTTTACTTTATACTTTTCAGCATAAGCTTATTTACTCAGTCAGGGAATACTAAGTGATTTATATGACAGTTGAAGGAAAATAGGATAAATTGTATTTATTTACTCTTGTTTAATAAGTGTACACATTTCTTCAAGAGCTGCAGTATCTTTATAAGAGCAGAAAACCTGTGAAGGTATATTATCTCTATTATCAAAATTAACATTTATTTATATTAACATTTAGAATTAAAACTGTAAAAGATTATTAGAATATTACCATATATTACCTTTTATTACTACCGAATGAAGCCAAATCACTTTGAAAATGCATTAAATTAGTAATTGTGTCTAAAACTATTCATATATTCTCACATTTATGAAATGTAAACCAATATATTGATATAACATTAAAAAAAATACTTGCCTATGAGATAAAACACATTTTGGAACTTAGTGCACTTTCAAACACAACAACTTAAAAAATCTAATTCCATTACTATTAATATAAGCTGCTGTATTTATATGTATAGCTTGAAACGCTCTGGTTTTACATCCATATAGAAACTGACAAATATCTATATCTAAAATAAATAAATAAATAAATAACTTCCTGCAGTAATTAAAATTGCATATAAATAGCCACAATAAAACTTTTGACAGGATTTAGCCTGTAATGAATTTCATCACAAGGTTATTAATCTGTTATAATTACACTAGAAATCTGAAAAGAGAAAATTTTTTTCAGGAATGAACAAATAACTAAAATTGCAGTAGCACTGTGTGATTATAGCCATAGAGCTCTGAATGAATGCCAAAACACTTGCATTTTACAGTGGCTAAAGCAACACAAAGTGTGTAAGCTGGATGCTGAACTTTCAGCTCCAAAATTTAAATCACGCAGTTCTCCTTAAGAAGTTGGGCTATTATTTATATTCGGATTAAAAAGAATGAAGTTAAAAATTTAAGTGTTTTTGATCATAGAAAAATAGTCATAAAGAGTTAACCATTTACATAATATTATCGTATTTTCCTGCTTCAGTATTTCTAGTGTTCCACAAAGAATAACATTGGAAGATGAGCAGAAATTTTTATGCAAAATTAGAAGCTGACCGCACATATTGGATACAGTATGATATGTGAAATACTGTATTATTTGCCTTTTAAGAAAGGAACATCTTTAGTAGAAACTGAAACAAATTAAAAGAAAAACAGTAAATGTATTTTGGCATCTTTAAAATTCTTCATTTAATCACAGATTTATCATTGATAAAGAACGTAAGTATTCAGCCAGATTTATAATGTAATTCTTAACAACATAAAATGTATTTGTACACAGCAGACTATACACCCAGTATCAGTAAATACATACCTGTTTAGCCATATTTTCTACAAACCTAGGTGACTTCTCCCTTAAAAATGTGACAATATCTTTATATACATCACTTCTTCTTTCATAGTCAATAGAATCTTTACCCTTTTGCTGACCCTTAAAAAAAAATCAAACTTATTAATAGTATTGCCTTACACAGATACTTTAATTTGCATCATAAAATGGTGCTAATGAGCACAGATATCATACTGTAATGAACTGGGTACAGAAATCTCATCCTCAGCAGAGTTCATCAAACTTAAATAATGCTTTGTAAAGATTCACAGATTATCTCCGTGAATCCCAACAGATAATCAAGACCTGACATAGAATTCTGCAAGTAATTACTATCAGTTAATTGTACTGTGTGTAGTTCCACTGAAAAGAATTTATGGCTCATGGAAAACAAACAAGTAAATATGAGCTTCCTTTGCAGTCTGACAGATGTCTAAAGGGATCAGAAAATAATGTGACCTGACAAGCCAAAGCTTTATAAGCTTCCACCTATAAAAATGTGCTAAGTCAAAATTTCCCTGGATTTTTTTAACTCTTAAGAAATCAGCTGGTGGAGTTATGCCTGACAGATATCAGTCTCTCTTCAAAATGAATGTAAGAGCTCTGGTCACTGCCTAACACCCATAAGGGACTATTATGCCTAAATAAAACCCATTTGTAAGGCAAGACGTAACCAAAATTAAAAATAGAAGACAAGAGAGATATAATTTCTAAAAAGCTTTCACGGAAAGGGAAAGAACTGCTTATCATATATAAAAATACAAAAGCAAGCTATATTAGCCACACACAATAGTATTACACTTCAAATCAAGAGCAATGCGGCTCTAGAGAAGCATCTGGTCCCACAGCACCTTTAAATAGGAATACTGTGAAGGACTGTTGGGGCATGTTTAAAGACTAAACAAACACTGCTAGCAAAAAGTGCAGAATATTCTCGTAGTATAAAACTTGCAGAAAAAGCACTCAAAACATATGGGAAAAGTAGAATGCATTTATTACCTTGTCTTTTCCTTTGTACCAATAAACTATGCAAGTCTTACAGTACAGCCTCGACACCACTACTCTAAACCTGATGGATTTTTGATCTGGGCACATAAAAATATTCATTACTCCATGGAATCCTTTATTATTACTTACTCCATTTAAAAACACTCCTGCTGTGCTGCAAGTGACATACAAAGGATCAGTGTCATGTGGTTTGATGGCTAAATAACAAATTTCTCCATGCACTTGTCTCCAGGGAGGAGCTCGGCATCCATTAGAGAACGTGTAATCTGTAACCAATCAGCAATAGTGTTTTCACCAAGTTTAAAAATATTTCTTAATAGTTATGCTTGATGATTAATATAATATGTATACAAATTAAATTCCTCAAACAATACCTTACTCTTAAGAATTTGCACTTGATAAATTAATCACACAAAGCTCTGTGGCCTGTGGCCTAATCCAATTAAGAGGCATACTACGGTCAGTACTTTTCAGCATCAGGGACTCGGTTTACTTCCTCAGCTTCTACGGAATAAATTTATATTATTGGAGATTATTTCTATAACTAAAACTGAAGAATTGCATTCCATAGCTGAAAATATGTTTTATCTTACTTTGTAACTTTAAAGTAGAAATAAACACTTCACATTCATTACTGAAATTAATTTAGCAAATTTCACACAGAAGTCAAGTACTTTAATAAGGGTATATATAAATGTGAGATATGAGCAGATCTGCACCTGATGTATATTCCAGTGATTCCAGTACTGTATCTTCTCCTTCCCCAGAGAAACCCTTGAGCAGATTTACTTCATGATTTATAGCTTCTGGATTTAGTCTTACATCCCTGCAATTAATAGAAAATGGTCTAAAATGTATTCATCAAAAGGATGTACTCAGAGAAATAAAAAGAGAATATTAATTTTTCTTTTTCTTTTACATCAAGTCTTAACAGTAGCAGCAAAAATCTGGAAATAGGTCATCTTCCATTGTTTTCCTTAATTTTTTCTGTCGGTTTAGTGAAATGTTAATTCCATAGCTGATATGAAGTCCTTGTAACTATGAAACAGACTCAATGTAATACTTAATATGCTTCCATGAAGAAATAAACATTTCCTTGAAAATGTTCAACTGTAATTTTCTTGTTTGTACAAATTACTTCAATTTGCTGCCAAAACACAAAGCACATGCAATAAAAACCCCACGCTTGCAGGCACACACTTGCATACCCACACCTAAAGCAAAACCTCCAGGAAAAATACAAAACAAAACAAAGGTTTTTTTTCAATAACTTAGTGAACAGCGAAATTTATTTCAATATTTCTTTATGTCACACCAAAAGCATATGTGGTGGGTTGAAAGCAATCCGATTTAACAATAAAACAAAAAACTGCACTGGCTGACAGGCTTAGCTTCCCTTTGAAATGCACTTACTGTGAAATATGTTGCAAAGAGCTATTAAGCAGTTGCAAATCTAGCTGACGAAGAAGAATAAAGATTTTCATTTTCATTTCTATTTCAGGGTCATCATCTTTTTTCACTTTGGCAAGTAAACGCAACATGGACATATCTTCTCCTTCAACAGTTCCATATTCAGGGCCAAGAATTTTCACCACAGGATCTCTGTTAGCTTGGAGCATGGCACAGATTCATACAAGTGATTAGCCAAGACAAGCATTTCTTATCTCAATTGCTGAGTAATTTTGATGCTATTAATTTACAATAAGAACTTCAATAAGGTGCATATTCATCAAATATTACTGTATGATGTAATCTTTCATACTCCTCTGTTGTAATTTGAAATGCACTTTTAAAAATTGAAAACATTATTAACAAAAAGAAATTTTTCACAACAAACAAAACTGCTTTTCAAAATAAATGTTAAGATTAATTTAACCAAGAGACAAATATTAAATATTTCACTTCATCAACAGCCCCCTTTCCAAAAAACATGCATAGCTGATCACCCAAACAGGAAATCAGTGGGTTTAACTCACTTAAAATTGATCACTTTGGAACTATGGTTTAGTGTTAAAGAACATGTTTAAAGTTTTCTATCAGCACTCCCAATGGTCCCATTACTTCCTCAGCTATGCCAGCTGTTCTTTTTGGTAAACAGTGACATAACTGCGTATCACTGGGTTTGACAAGAAGATTTTCTTCTGTTCCTGCAAATGAAGTCCCATGCATCTGTGAAAGCTTCTGCATGCTACCCCATCCATATTATCCTTCCCTATTATTCATGGTTGATCACTGGCAGTGACAGGGCCATGGATTAGATAGATCTGAAGTTGGAATATGCAAGAATATGCATTTATATTTTAGTACTGCAGATGCAATTTCTACCAACGTTACCAAAAAATATGAGTGACCTCTTCCGCCTCCAATGAGAGGATATCCAGTTTAGCATATCAAGGGTCTTGTCAGTTTGAGAATCTACGACTTGAATATGACACAGTGGAAGTACTTGTACCTATAGTTTAAAAGGTTTTGTTAGAAGAACCTGAAAGTGCTCTCCGTCAGCCTTGTGCATTTAAGAAGGTCTTAAGCATACAAGTTTTTAGCTGGCTATTTTTAAGGATGTAACCTTTTAAAAGCAGATTACACTACAAACATCAGAAAAACCGCT